TTTGTTATACTGTTTTTGTAACAATCATTTAAATTTTTTTATAACTTTATTGAGCAGATTGAATAGCAAGATTCTGTGGTAGAAAATACGAAAATATCTGCAGATTAGAGGCAGTAGTGGGTTGTGGTTAGACATGACTTTTTAGTCTGGATACTGTTATGAAGTATGACTTTACTTCTTGTCCTTCCATTTACTGTTGTTAAAACACTTAATCATTCTATTTATTTAGCACAAGACCTAGGTCAGAGTTTCTATACTCTAGCCAAGAAGTGTCTGTCACTCGTGTCTCCAACTCAGTTAATGGCCTTCCTAAAGTGAATTGAATAATATTTTTACTCATTATTGGTGTTCAAGTTCAATTCCCCCAACCAGATCATTCAATTCGCCCAATGAGATCATAGCTCATTTTAGCTAATGTGGCGTCTATCGGAGTGCTTAAATAATGATGCTCAGTAAATATTTGTTGCTGATCAATACGTATTTGCCAACCTCTAGTGTCTTTGCCTGGCCAGTAAAATAGTTGCTTGGATGTGTAATTCCTTCTTTGAGTAAGCATGAAGGCGTTTTCTCAAGGTACTATGAGGTGAGTAATCATAGAGAGGAGACCCTCAAGTTTTCCTGGGTTTATTTAATGAGACTCTGTCCCTGCGTATAAAACAGTGAGTGTGAAGACGAAAGGTATTGTCACCCACAAATGAGGAAGGAGTTATAAGATTATGTCTTATTTATATAATAAACCTGAACACAGAAAACTGTTTGCTTGTGTCTAAAAGGAGAACATTATTTTTATCTTTTAGACTTATGTACTGAAATATCTATGAATGAAATGATAAATTGTCTGAGATTTTCTTAAATCACTCAGCATGAGGGAATGTAAATGGAGGTATATTGTTGTTGTTAAGTGCTGCTGAGTTGGTTCCAACTCACAGCAACCCAGTATAGGGTTTCCAAGGAGTGGTTTAGTGAGCTTGAACCACTGATCCTGCAGTTCAAACCTACCCCACAGTCCTGCGCTTATACTACAACACCACACCAGGCCTCCTTAGATGAGACAAAATTGGACATAAATTATTTGAAGCTGGAAGATGGATAATTAAGAGTGTATTTTTATACTCTGTGCACTTTTAATTATGTTTAAATTTTTCCATAATAAAGAAAAAACATATAAGAGGGTTGCTTTATGTTTGGACTGGAAACCCAAACCAAACCCTCATCCATTCATGTTGATTCTGATTAATAAAGTAGAATTGCACCATAAGGTTTCTAAGACTGCAGTCTTTATGGAAACCGACTACCACATCTTTCTCCCATGGAGACTGGTGGGTACCAGTCCCTGACTTAAGAGTTAACTGTCAGTGCTTTGGCCCTTGTGCCACCAGGGCTCTTCTTGGATGGAAACAGTGATCTAAAACATCCTATAGAGGGTTTTCAGGAGCTCTGATGGTAGGATAAGCACTGGACTGCTGGCTACAAGATTGTCAGTTCAAACCTATCACTTGCTCCATGGGAGAAAAATGAGGCTGTCTGCTCCCATAAAGATTTACAGCCTTGGAAACCCTAGGAGTTGACATGGACTCAATGGTAGCAGGATACAGAGGGTTTTAGACCATGCCTGGGTTCAATTTTTTAGGCTGTAGTGCCATCTAGTGTTTATTACAAACACCCAAAGCATACTATGCTTCCACGTGATGGTGCTACAGTTCAGTGTTGAGCTGCTACCAGCAAGGCCCACGGTTCATACCCACCAGCTGCTTCGTGGGAGAAAGATGAGGTTGCCCACTTCTGTAAAGATTTATAGCCTCAAAAACCCTCTAGAGGGTCTCTGTGCATCATAATCTACTCAATGGCAGTGGGTGGGTGGTGAGTGCTACCATGAGGGAAGATTGGTGGAGGAGGGAACTTCGTCTAATGGGGGTCTTTCTGTAAATGGCACTGGGAAGGTCTGGGAGAGAGGGGCTGAGGGGCCTCACAGAGTAACCATGGTTGTGAAGGTTGCAATGGTGTTTACAATCCAGGTTTTTGCTCGACCCACACCTTCCATGCTGGGAGAGCACCGTTTCATGCACAGCTCTGAAGGCAGCTGACCTTGGTGAAAGGTTCTCAGTGCGACCCAGGTGCAAAAATAGCCTCTCTTGTGACTGCTGTGTGCTCAGCTCCCCGGCCTAAGCAAACAGCCCCTCACACCTGCACAGTGTTTACTTGGTGGAGACACACACAGCTACTTGTTTGCAGGTGCAAATGACTGTTTATGTACCCAGAGTTGGGGGTAGGGCTCCTTCACCTAACCTCTTCTCCAGCCCAGGTTCCCTTAGAACAGATACCTGGGCCACAGTACTCCCTAAATGTGGAACCTTAAATCCCATGGCGGGGTTCTGTTGGGCAAAGAACTCTACAAGACATTACCATCACCCCAGTCACTGGAGAAGAGATCACCCTTGCTGCAGGCAGCAGGACAAGAAAGGTCTGAGACCAGGACAGCTGTGCTTAGTGACTGAAAAGTAGGATAGAACTCATGGAGACTTCTGGGAATCCTGAGCCAGACTGTACATAGAGGATGTTGTTGTTGTGTGTTGTTGAGTTTGTTCCAACTAATAACGACCCTATATAACAGGGGTAGGGAACCTTTTTTCTGCCAAAGTTTATAACATCATTCTCAGACCATACAAATTATCAACTTAAAAATTAGCCTGCTATATTTGGTCAAGCATTTAATTAGCTCATCCCTAATGTGATAACTAAGGAGCTCTGATAACGTAGTGGTTACGAATTGGGCTGCGAGCCGCAAGGTCGGCAGTTCGAAACTACCAGCTGTCCCGGGGGAGAAAGATGAGGCTTTCTGCTCCCGTAAAGATTTACAGCCTCGGAAACTCTGTGCAGGGTTGCTATGAGTCGGAACCAACTCCACAGCACATAACAACAACAATGGGTTAACTGTGGAGTACTGGTATGGAGCTGTGGGTTATGCACCAGACTGCAAAGCCATTTGATCTGCAAGGTCAATGATTCAAGCTCACCAGCTGCTCCTTGGAAACCCCATACAGGGTCTCTGTAGAATCGATTTGACAGCACTTAACAATAACAACAATGTGATAACTGGAACTGCAGTTGCCTTGGCAGGGCCAGACTAAATGATTTTGTGGGCCTTGTGAGTCCTGGTGTGGAACCATAGGATAAGCACTGAATCTGAAGGTTGCTTTGAACTGCAAGTTTGATGGTTCAAACTCACCAGCCACTCTTGGAAACCCTATACAGGGGTGCTATGAGTTGGAACTCACTGGACAGTACTTAACAACAACACATAGCCTGTGGACTAGACAGTCCCCAACCCTGCTGTATAGGGTTCCGAGGAGCAACTGGTGAATTTGAACCACCAACCATGTGGTTAGTAGTCCAGTGCTTATCCTATAGCTGCACACCAGGATTCCATATATATAGGATAAGGAATAAGAAAACGAGCACAGACTCCCTCACAAGGACAACTAAAATAGATGTGGAGGGTGTTTACAATTGTAGAATTCTATAGAAACTCCTGGTGTGGCGCTGTATGATCAGCACTGGATTTTGAACCACAAGGTCGGCAGTTCAAACACCAGCTGCTCCTCAGAAACCCTATACAAGGTCAGTATGAGTCAGAACTGACTCAACGACACTTAACAACAATGATAGAAATGGAAAATAAAGAGGATAGAAGGGTAGGAGGGATGTTAAATGAGGCAGTATATAGAGAAATGATAATAACTTTCTTCTGCTAGAAGTATAAGTTATCATCCTTAATTAAATGCCATTCCTTATAATATGCTCCTTTATTTTGTGTACCAATAAACAAGAAAAAATGTTGCCAGTTAAATAATGAGACAGCAGAAGATAATGTTCCAATTTCATATACATTAAAATGAGCAAAATTAATGAGATTTGTCATTTTCAACTTTTTGCAGAACAGTTTGAAAAATATCAAGACCAAAAAAAAAAAATGAGTCCTTTTGACTCAATAATTCCATTTCTAGGAGAATATTCTAAAGAATAATTAGAAATGTAAAAACTTGGCCTATGAAATGAAGAGTATCTATAAAACACAAATTGGAAATAATAGTTAAAAGATTAAAGTTCAATGATGGCACATTTATAGGCTGTAATATTATATATTGGAGTTGTGGTGTGGTGCTGTGGGTTAATGCGCTAGACTGTAAAGCCGTTTGAACTGCAAGGTCGGCAGTTCAAGCTCACCAGCCGCTCCTCAGAAATCCTATACAGGGTCACTATGGGTTGGAACCGACTCGACGGCACTTCACAACAACAACAACAACAACAAAACAATATTATATACTGCCTTGAAATTAGTTTAGGAAGAATTCCTATCATGGTAAATTGTTCTGGTGTTTAGTGAAAAATAGGCTTAAAATTGTATATAGCTTGACCTTAACATGGAAAATGAATATGCCAAAGAATGAAACATTATAAAGGATATAATATAACAAAATACTAACGTTGGTGATGTCTGGTTTCAGGATTATATATGATCTATATATAACTTTACACATTTCAATATTTTTTAATTTTCCTAAAGTAAATACTTGTGATCTTTTCACTCAAAGAGGAAAACACTCTCAGTTTTGAAAGGGAAAAGACAGAGAGAGCTCAGTGTTAGAAGAGAACCTCAAGGCTTTAGGCTCTGAATAAAAATCTGGCACCAAATTCTAGGTGTCTGACCCCTGGGCCTGGGTCCCTGGTGATTGCTGCCAACTCTCTTCTTTTTCTCATCACCAGGGAGAGACTGCTGTGTCTGGGAGTCCAGAGTAAAAATGTACACTCCCCATCCCAGTGGGTCCCTCCAAAAGAGAGGAGGAGCCAAGGCAAGTCAAGGTGACCTTGCCTTCCTAGAAGAAAACGTTCTTCACAGAAAGGGCATTCTTTCTTTGGTCTCTAGAGTCTCAGACATAAGATTTCTCCACATAAACAAAAAGTTAATGCTCTGTATTATTCTCCTGTCATTTCTCACCCAGTAGATATGTTTGATGACTTCTCAGAAGGCAGAGAATGTGTCAACTGTGGGGCCATGTCCACCCCACTCTGGAGAAGGGATGGGACGGGGCACTACCTGTGCAATGCCTGTGGCCTCTATCACAAGATGAACGGCATCAACCGACCCCTTATCAAGCCCCAGCGCCGACTGGTAAGACAGTTTCTCAAATTTCTTAAGTCCAGTAGCCTGCGGAAAGGCCGCGCTTCTGTGGCTCCTTCTCAGAACCCGGTTCAGGATGTTTGCCTTCATGAGTTATCTGGTACTTCTGTGGCATTCTAGCCACCTACACTGAAAACAAGGGCAGTGGTGGTCTGTGGTAGAATGCTCTTCTCCATGTAGCAGCTGCAGATTCCCAACAAATGCACCTCTTGCACTGTCAGCACCCATCTATCAGTGGAGGCTTGTAGGTTGCAGTGATCCTGAGCTGGTGTCAGCAGAGACTCTAAATTAAGACTAAGAAGAAAGGCCTGGTGATCTATTTCCCCAAATCAGTCAATGAAAATCGTATAAATCACAACGGCTGATCTCCAACCAAAAGTCGTGTAGTACTTTTTAAAAAAACGGGTGGGTTCAGGGGTTAGGTGGGTAGGTAAAGAGACACATAATAAGTGTCGACACTTTAAAATAAATGTGAGCTACAATGATTGTTCCAAAGTATCAAGTTCAGCCCTTTAAATATACAGAAGTGAAAACTGAGGCTCAGAAAAGCCCAAAGACTTGCCCACAATAACACAAATAGTCTCAGGTTTGGGACCAGAATTCAGGCTGCCTGATTCCAACCTACTATTGTCTTTTGTGTCTTTTATATTCATATCAACTGTTAGAGGAGGAATACCCCAGAGACCACAGGACTTATTATTTACATTATTTTCAGTTGATAAACCCAAACCACAAGGAGGTTGAACAGATTGATTGTGTAAGGCCCTGTAATGGTGAAGAATCTGGAACTGGGATTGGGACTCGAGTTTTTTGTTCCTCATTCAGTGTTCTTTTGTACTGTAATTTGATTGTGATCAACACCAGCTAGCTTTTATGTTTATAAAGGAGGGAGGCACATAAACCTGATGTTTCCCTTTTTTGTGGTCCCAAGCCTATCCCAGATCTTGATGACACCTGGATACAATCATTCCCCACCCACTACATTTACCGAGCACTTTGGAGCATTAATTTACTTTGGGGGAGAAAGTTTTCTGTTACCAGTACCATTTTTGCTTAGGTACCTGTCTGAAGTCAAATGAAGTACCACAGGACTAGAAACCAGATACTTGGTGTCCTCTCGCAGCACAAGTCTCTGATCTCATCATTAGGAGTGGCTCTGGCCCTACCACTGGTCTGATTCTCACACAGTGCTGTTATGACTAACCCGGTGTCCCATGTGAAGTAGCAAGTAGGACTTAGACTTGAAGAGTTTGTTTGCTATGTTGCAGTCAGCCTCCCGCCGAGTGGGCCTCTCCTGTGCCAACTGCCAGACCACCACCACCACCTTGTGGCGCCGCAATGCTGAGGGTGAGCCCGTGTGCAATGCCTGTGGCCTCTATATGAAGCTCCATGGGGTACGTAGATCTCCCCCTAAATCTCCCCATCTATCAGTGACCACCTTGGTCAGTTCTAATCAATCAACTCTCAATGTGTACGTTTCTCCTTTAGACTATAAATTCTTTTTTTTCTTCTTCGTAACAAAGGTAGTTTGATTTGGAAGGGACTTTAGGAGCCTTTGCTGGTTTCTCCCATCTCTCACATTGCATAAGTCTTAGCTCTCACTTTATACATGAGGAGTCACAGAAACTAGCTTATAAAAAAAATAACCAAAGAGTGAATACATTACAAAATCCATGTGAGTTGTTTATTGCCACAGAGTTTATAGTGGCAAAAACTTGAAATAAACTTAATGTCCTAAAAAGGAATTTACTGCGTTATGGCACATCCCATAATGTGGAATCTTATGCAGAAATTTAAAAATAATGAGCTCAGCTATATATTCTTGCGGGGGGAGTCCTCATGTGGTGCTGTAGGATAAACACTAGACTGTTAACTGCAAGGTTGGCAGTTCAAACCCACTAGCTACTCCTTGGAACCCCTGTGTTGTTGTTGTTGTTGTTAAGTGTCATCAAGTTGGTTCCAACCCATAGCGACCCTGTATAGGGTTTCTGAGGAGCAACTGGTGAGCTTGAACCGCTGACCTTGTAGTTCAAACAGCTTTGCAGTCCGGCGCATTACCCCACAGTGCCATACCAGGACTCCTGGAAACCCTATACAGGGTCATTATTTGTTGGAACCAACTCAACAGCACTTAAAAACAACTATAACAACATATATTTTGAAGTAATAAAAAAAACATATTACCAAGTACTATGTATGTAAAGTCTAACCCCATCTGGGAGTGAGGAGTACATTAAACACACAAACATAGATGGACGGACATATTCATACATGTATGCATACATATATGTTTGAGAATAAAGCAAAAAGTAAGTACACTTACCAGACTATTAATACCTGTAGCCTCTTGGGGATAGGGTTGGTTAGTAGGGAGGTGGGGTAGAAGTTAATATTCAACTTATTTTTTATTGACTTCTTGTTATAATAAAAAGAGGCTAAAAATACGCATATAGTGAAAATGTTCTTTAAAAATGCACTTATATTTGCAAAGAGTGTATAAAGTTTGTTTCTTGAGTCATTGCAGTCGTAAAAAAGGAAGGAAAAAAGTCCTTTGAGAGGAGATGGTTAAAAAAACTATTCTTCAGAAACTATTCTTCAGTAGGAAAATGGTAAAAGAAATCAATCAGGAAACTATTCCAAATAATGAGATTATTTCCACAAGTACTAATCCGGGGATGTTCTCTAAGATTTATCACTGAATGAAAAAGCCAGATACAGAACAGTAAGTATAGTCTGATTCCCACTTAGGTTACAAAGGAAAGATCTTTATCTATTTGTGTGCATCTTAAATTGAAAGCTTTAAAAACTTAGAATGTTGGAAAAGAGAGTGGGGAGTAAGGGATTAGAAATGAAGGAACACATCATGAGTTTATACTTCAGTATGTTTAAATCGTTTACAATAAGGATGATTTCATCAAGTATATATGCAATTTAAAATATTAAAAGTAAAGAAAATACTTCATATATAAAGAGGATCAAAAGGTTTACAATGAAGCAGCCGTGAGAATTCTTGGAAGGAGATATAGAAAAAAGAAAAATGAGGAAGGCAAAAGATGATGCAGAGAGGAGTCATTTGATAATGGGATGCAAGAAGGAGGGCATCAGCAATGTTTACATATAGTACAAGTGCCCCTGTATACAACAGTCGGGAGGAAAAGCAATGGAAAGGGGGCCTAGCACTCTTGCAGAGAACTTTGTAAATAAAAGGTACAAGATAGTAGGATATGGCTGAGAAGCTGTAGTTTCAAAAAACTAATTTTAAGGTAGGTATGACCTCTGCACATGTGAAGTTTCAGTAAGAAGAAGTAGAAGTTTGAAAGTATGAGGGACTTTGACAAGTTTATGGAAAAAGGGAATGGAAAGATAATGGAGTTTTTCCATGAATTTTTTAGAGTATGGTAAATAGGGATAGACACGATAAACGTGAGAGTCAGGATGGATTTCAAGTGGCCCAGGTAGACCAGCAAAGGCATTGGTGGAGGATACCTTCCTCCAAAGGTGGGACAGGATAGGAGGGTAACAGGACAGGCACAGTAAGATGATGAGGGGAGGTGAGAATGCTGCCTCATCTGATTCTTCAATGCTGTAAGAGTGCCAGTGCCAGTCAATGTTAAGTCAGTTCATCTCCTGGTGACTCCATGTGTCAGAGTAGAATTGTGCTCCATAGGGTTTCAATAGCTGATTCTTCAGAAGTAGGCCACCAGGCCTTTGTTCTGAACACACTTGAACGGTCAGCCTCGCAGCTAGCAGCTGAATGCAGGAACAGTTTGCAGCATCCAGGGATGGCCGAGTAAGAGTAGAAGGCAAGTTCACATACACTAGTGCATTTCTCTTAACCATTCTGTTTTCATGTTTTTGGTGAGTTTTTCTATAATATATGTCCTACACAATAAATAACTGTAAACCAGGCTCTAAAAGTTTTGGCCTGGCCTTAAAGAAACCAGAATGGGTAAGGCACAGTATTTTAAAATATGAGAAAGGTGATCATCTGCAGTCTTGCTCCCTGAACACTTATTTAGGTATCTTTGAAAGGATCAAGAGTATGACTCATGACAAACACTGCTTTATTACGAGGGATTGGATGTGACAAAGTGTTGTCCATGGACAGAACACGCACTCCTCACTTAGCAACATGGTTAAGTTCCAAAAACTAGGTCATTATGTGAAACTGGCATTATAAAATGAAGGATGACCACATTATAGAACTGCCAAATTATATCATTATATAACTACCAAACCACTGAAAATCATGGACCAGCCAAGCTGACACTTAACCTTAACCATCACCACCAGTGTCACTCTTGCCTTGCACCTTGGCATTCGTTACTGCTAAGTGTATATGACATAGTCAGGTAGTAGATTTTTTTTTTTTTTTTAAACCATTGTTGTAAATGCAAAATGTCAGATAACAAGATAGTTGATAAGTGAGCAGTCAGTGTATTTCAGAACCTGGGCATGGGTCAGTCTTGCTAATATTATCCCTTGCCACTCACCCATGGAAACATTAATGTTTTGCTCCAGGCAGACTCAGTGCTATACAAAGCTGCCATAAATAAAGCCAACATAACGTCCATCCTGACTTACCCAGGACTGTCCCAATTTATACCTATTTTCCTGGCATAATTTATTAATAGCACCCCCTCTTCATGTTCATGCTAAGTGTTGGGCTGCTATCTGCAAGTTCAGTGGTTCAGATCCACCAGCCACTCCACAGGATAGAGGAGAGGCTGTCTGCTCCTGTGAAGGTTTACCATCTTGGATACCTTAAGGAGCAGTTCTGCTCTGTCCTACAGAGTCTCCATGAGTTGGAGTTGACTTGGCAGTGGGTTTTCATTTTCACAGTGCACTGGTTTGGATGATAACTTAAAGGATTTTGCAAATACTGTTCCAGTGATTTGAAATCGTTCATCTACATTTGAATCTCCTACAACTCAGGTGTCACCTCCTCAGGGAAGCCTTCTTTGATACCTTCATGTGCTACTTCCTTTCCTCTCCAACCCAAGCCAAATTTCAGTTTTTCTTCTTTGTTCTCTCATATCACCTACCACGGTCTGGTTATTTTCTGTCTTTTCCACTACTAGCCTGCAAACCTCTTGAAGATAGGAACTGAATATTCTCCTTCTTCAAGGTGTACTATGATACCTAGCATATAATGTAGGTGCTGTGAAGTCCTGGTATGACTCTATAGGATAAGCACTGGACTGCTAACTGCAAGGTTGGCAGTTGAAACCCACCAGCGTCTTCTTGGGAACCCCACATAGAGTCGCTATGAGTTGGAACCAACTTAACAGCATTTAACAACAAACAATATAGGTGCTTAATACACTTTTAAAAATAGCATTGACTAATTTCTCCTTTGGAATGTTCCAAAGACCTATTCATATAGCCTCAGTCCCAAGGTTTGTAGAATGATTACTTATATGTTGCCTTCTCATAATATATGTATACATATGTATGCTTAAGTACTATAGCAGATTTTAAATAAGTGGCAAACCATATTCATATTGTCTTGTGACCTTCTAGGTCCCCAGGCCTCTTGCGATGAGGAAAGAAGGAATTCAGACCAGAAAACGGAAACCCAAGAACCTTAATAAATCTAAGACTTCAGCAGGTGAGGAAAAGATACATTTGTGATTCTATAATAACTTAGTAGTTCGCAGTGTGTGAGAATACCTGTACTGTGGTCTTGGCAAGGCATGCCACTTCAGGACAAGATGAATTTGTTCATCCCAAACTTCTCAGGGTAGAATAACAAAATAAAAAAGTAACAGCATACCGGGAACTTTTTTTCCCCCACAAATGTTGTTGTTGTTAAATAGGGACCATTTATTATTATATCCATTTCTACCAAAACAACAATTCATTTATTCCCTAATTGTTTGTTGTTGTTTTTTTAATTGTGAATTTTGTGATAGTTTACATGCGGGAGAACATTAGCTTTACATTCATCCTCTCTTATTTAGTTTCATCACAATGATTATAATTCCCTTCATGCATCATCAGATAACCAAAGGATATACCCCGGAAGCCTGCCCCTAGTCCATCGACACACAGCCCCTCTCCCTCCCAGAGTCCAGAGTCCCCAGCAGCTCCATCTCACCACATCATCGTCTTTGCTTCCATCTCTGGCATTACTGCTTCTGTGGATAGGGTCCCATATTCTGCTCTTCTCCCTTGATGGTCCCAGGGACTTCTGCTGCTGGCCTGACAGATCAACCACTCCCTCCTTTTATTACAAAACGTCTACCTTTACATTTCAAACACTCACAGTCAGACTTGATAGCAGTCATTCACTATTGAACCACAAGAGTCTTATCTCCATTTCCTTTCATCAGACCCATCCAGACAGATTGGAAACCACTCAGTTGAGATTCTACCTTCCCCTGCACCCACAGGAACTAGGTTCCCTCTTGAAAGTAAGCCAGTCACTTCTTGCCTTTGTAGATCCCCCCATTTTGGGTAGCCAGTGTCTAAGTTGCCTATCCTTGTCAACCCTGTGTACCGACGGGGTGGGAATGATCCTCGCTCTAAGGATTTTTTTCCCTCCTTTGAGCTACTACATCCACAAGCATAGGTCAAATTCATCAAATTGTAGCAGATTATTCTATTTTCCTCTTCTTTCTGTCTCTAGTCAAGCTCTGATCGTGCAGTCATTGAAGCCAGGTCAAATGGGTACTTATCTGCAAGTATGGGTGTTCTTGTGCAGCTCCCCTTACTTCAGACCAGCTGGACGCTTTACTCTCCACTCTAGTCCTCTGGGCCATGTCCCTGTCCCTGGGCCCAGGAGTCCCCAGTTCTCGCCATACTGCTGGCCATCCAGGTCTCAACCCAGATTGACAGGAGTCTATTGAATGTGGTCAGACTTAGTTCACAACTTAATGTTTTCCCCTACTTCCCCTTATAGGTGACCAGTGAGGTCAGCAACAAGACCACATGTCTGCTCATGTATTCCCCTTGAATACTAGTCTTGGAAGGGGGTTTGCCCTGAGGGTACCTGACCATTTGCCTTGATGGCTCCCAGGCGAACAACTTGCTAGTTCTTGTACTAGTCAATCAGGCTGCCATTATTGTTTTTTATTATTCCTGATGGTCTTTCTTTCAAGAAGTATCTTCTGTTTTTCTAGCCACTCCAGGCTGGTCTGCTTGTCCTTTCAAGTGGAAATTTCCCACCTCAGAAGATTTTGGATGGGAATCAGGAGTCCACCTATGGTCTCATGCAGTGCAAAGGCTCCGCAGGAAGCCTCCTTCCCTGGGCAAGTTCTAGCCCCATTTTAGGTATTCCAGTCAGTTACAGGTTGAAGACAGACTTACAAGCTTTCTATGGTGATGTTTCTGGCTATTCCTTTCTCTCCCCCACAAGTATCTATTTTACAATAGTAGGCAAGGGAAACCAAGATTCAAAAGACAGCCAAGCATCTTAACATTATTTTCCCTCTTTTACCCAGTCAAACCGTGCCTCAATCCCTGTATCGCAGAGCCCTGTGGTTCCAAAGTTATGCATACATCATTATTTACCTTTGTCTCACTTAACCCATGCAAACCTGCCTAACTGTTCTCCCATTCTCCTCCACCTTCTAGTTTATTGTGCGGCCCCCCCCAGCACCCACACTATCCTGTGTCTATTCCCTACCCTGTGCTCCACCTTCCCTTTTCTCCCCTACCTCACTCCATGCACCCCAGTAACCAGCAAAAAAAATTTTTTTCCCTTTTAGTGTGGGTACTTTTTCTTAATCTTTTACAGTCATGGGCTTATGCAGTATTTCTCCTTTTGTGACTGACTAATTACTAATTACTCAGCATAATGTCCTCAAGGTTCATCCATGTTATGTAGTAGCTTGCAGCTTTCTTGCTATTCTCAGGGTAACATAATATTCCATTGTTTGTATGTACCACAGTTTGTTTATCAATTCCTCCATTGATGGGAACTTAGGCTGTCTCCATCTTTTTTCTATTGTAAATAGTGCTGCTATGAAATTGGCATGCATATATCTACCCATATTATTGCACGTATTTCTTGTGGATAAATACCAAGTAGAGGAATTGCTGGATCATAAGGTATCTATTTCCAACCTTCTGAAGAAGCATCATAGTGTTTTCCAGAGTGGTTGGACCATTTTGCAATCCCACCAGCAATGTAGGAGGGTCCCAGTCTGTCCGCATCCTTGCCAGCATTTATTGTCCTCTATTTTTTTGATCCTTGCTGTTATTGCTGGTGTGAGATGATATCTCAGTGTTGTTTTGATCAAGCTCACCAGCTGCTCCTTGGAAACCCTATATACAGGGTCGCTATGGGTCGTGACTGACTTGATGGCACTTAACAAAAACAACAACAATGGCTAGTGATCGTGAACATTTCTTCATATGTTTGTTGGCTGCCCGGATCTCTTCTATGGTCAAGTGTCTGTTCATGTCCTGTGCCCATTTTTGAATTGGGTTGTCTTTTTCTTGTAGAGGTGTTGTAGGGTTCTGTGTATTTTAGAAATTAGTCCCTTGTCTGATGTGTCGTTGCAAAAGATTTTTTCCCATTCTGTGCGTTCCGTTTTTACTCTTTTGGTGAATCCCATTCTGTGCGTTCCGTTTTTACTCTTTTAGTGAAGTCTTTTGATGCACGTAAGTTTTTAATTTTTAGTATGTCCCAATCATCTGTTTTATCTAATTTTATTTGTATAATTTTCAAAATATTTGGTAGTCTGTGTATTCCCTGTATAAGAGTCCTCACATTTGTCCCTATTTTTTCATTGATGGCCTTTATAATTCTGGAATTCACATTTAGGTCCTTAATTCATGCTGTGTTGGTTTTTGTATAAGGTGTGAGGTAAAGGTCTTGTTTGTTTCAATCTTTTGCATATCACTTTTCCAGTTCTGCCAGCATCATCTGTTGAAGAGACTGTCACCTCCCCATGCAATATACTTAGGCACTTTGTTGAAAATCTGTTGGCTGTATGTGGATAGGTTAATGTCTGGATTCTCGATTCTGTTCCATTGATCAATGTATCTTTCATTGTACCAGTACCAGGCTGTTTTGACCACTGTAGCCGTGCAGTAAATTTTGAAATCAGGGTATGAGAGGCTTCCAACTTTATTCTTCTTCTTAAGCGGTGCTTTGCTTATCCTGGGTCTCTTCCTTTCCATATAAATTTTTAATTGTTTTTTCCATCTCTTTGAAGAATGTAATTGGAATGTGGATTGGGATTGCATTATATGTGTAAATTGCTTTGGGCAGTATTGACATTTTCACAGTGTTAAGTCTTCCTATCCAGGAGCATGGTGTATTCTTCCAATTTTTTAAGTCTCTTTTGGTTTCTTGTAGTGGTGTTTTGTAGTTTTCTTTGTATAGGTTCTTTGTTTCTCTAGTTACATTTATTCCTAGATATTTCATCCTTTGGGCGGCTATTGTAAATGATATTCCTTTCCTAATGTCATTTTCAGCGTTGTCATTGTTACTATAGAGGAATCCAGCTGATTTTTGTATGTTGATCTTATATCCTGCCACTTTGCTGAATCCTCCAATGAGGTCTAGTAGCTTTTTGACTGAGTCGTTGGGGTTTTCTACATATAGGATCATATCATCTACAAATAGAGAGAGTTTTATTTCCTTTTAGCCAATTCAGATGCCTTTAATTTCCCTGTCTTGCTATATAGGTCTTGCTAAGACTTCCAGCACAATATTGAATAGGAGTGGTGACAAAGGGCATCGTTGTCTGGTTCCTATTCATAGAGGGAAGGCTTTCAGTTTCTCTCCATTGAGAATAATGTAGGCTGTTGGTTTTGTATATGCTCTTAATTATGTTGAGGAATTTCCCTTCAATTCCTACTTTGTTGAGTGTTTTTTATCAGGAATGAATGTTGGATTTTGTCATATGCCTTTTCTGCATCAATTGATATGATCATGTGGTTCTTTTCTTTTTCCTTATTTATATGGTAGATTACACTGATTGTTTTTCTAATGTTGAACCATCCTTGCATCCCTGATATGAATCCCACTTGATCATGATGTTTTGTTTTTTGGATGTGCTGCTGGATTATGTTGGCTTGGATTTTGTTTAGAATTTTTTTTTATCTATGATCATGAGCATGCTATGAACTTTTGAATCAGACTCAACTTGCATTACCACCTGATTTTTGCCAGTTGCAAAACTGCAGTAGGTTGCTGGGCTGTGTGAAGGCCCTAAGGAAAAAGCAATATTGCTCAATCTCTCCATCTGTTGTTGTTGTTGTTAGGTGCCATCGAGTCAGTATTTACTCATAGGACCTTATGCACAGCAGAATGAAACACTGCCCAACCCTTGGCTAACCTCACTATTGTTGCCACAGTGAGCCCATTGATGCTGCCATTTAGCCAATCTATCTCGCTGGGGGTCTTCCTCTTTTTCTCTGACCCTCCACCTTACCAAACATGATATCCTTCTCCAGCGAGTGGTCCCTCTTGACAATATGTCTGAAGTATGAGAGACGAAGTTTGACCATCTTGGTCTCCTAGTAGCACTCTGCCTGCACTTCTTTCAACACAGATATGTTGGTTCTTTTGGCAGCCCATGGCACTTTCAATATTCTCCTCCAACACCATAACTCA